TCAGATAAGACCAGTTGTCTTAAGGCGTCCTCGTCTTCAACTCCTTTCAATTGTTTGTCGTTTTTCTCAGTTTCCGACTCTTCAGAGCTGTCAGAAGAGTCTGACATATAATCCACTTCTTTGTCGTCGAAGTCTCCCTCATCGCTCTCCTCCAGTGGTTCGCTGTCGTCCGAGTCATCCGATCCCTTCTTCTTCTTCTTTTTCATGGGTTTTTTGGCTTTCGATCCCTTCTTGTCTTTCTTTGACTTTGGTTTGACGTCTTCATCGCTGTTATCATTCAAATCGCTTCTCTCATTATCAGAGTCCAAGTCATGCCAGTCATCCATATCCGACACTTTCAACTCTTTCTTCATCTTAGCCTTGGATTCGCTGCTATTGTCTGCCATTTCGTCGTCTTTTCTCTTTTTGTTAATCATAACCGAAAAGTAATTCAATATTTTGTCCCTCTTTTCGAACTTCTCTTCGGCTTCCTCTGCGGTCAACGCTTTGTATCTCTGAATAGGAGTAAAATTATACCACTCTTTGACGGGAAACGCTTCAAAGGCTCCGTCCGGCGCCTGAAAGAAGACATAATACGAGGCGTTCTCAGAGACACCGCCCTCTCGAAGACCTTTGTATCTGCGGCGATGGTATGTCTTAATACAAGTGGTATATTGAGTGATAAAACACATACTTCTTGCCCAGTTTGCCTCCAGTCTTCAGAATCCATGGCTGTTGTCCTCCGGAGCCTCTCTTCATATATTTCTTTCGTTTCATTTCTTCCCTCTGTTTTCGTCCGAATTCAGATCCGGCGCCGAATTCACTCACTTCCGGCTCATTGTCTGTCTTCACGTCTTTGACATCATTCTCGCGAGACATTTGACACGATTTCCATTTGTTTGGCTCCACATTAAGAGCTGATCCAAAGCGCATTACATTAAACTTCTTGTTTCCCATTTCCCTAAACAAAGAGGCAATGCGTTCATGAGTGCAAGTGTTTGGTGACAACTGGGAGGAGGTGTTCAATACCGGGGAACTCTGACAATAAACTCCTGAGTGGCCGATGAAGACATTTGATCCGGATTTCAGTGATACGTATTGCGAGCCTTCAGTGGTATCTGAGTCTCACTGTCTGTGAGTCTGTCTGAGAGGCAAACGTTTGCCACAAATACGAGACTCTAATCAATGGTTCGCTCCATAAATGACTGCATTTGTGAGCAAAACATGTGATCATTGTTTGCAAACAATTCATTGAAATGTCTTTTAAACCGATTTGTCGTTTGTTTTCACAAAAAGTCAAAAACTCTTTGCTTGGGATCAGTCATGACATGAGAAGACAATTGCATTCAAACGACCATTGGTTCACACATTCAAAGATCCAAAGAGTGGTGTCAATGCTATCTGAATATGGCTTCACTGAAAATCAGAGCCAAACTATTGTCGACACAATCGGCAGATATATTGTCGAAGAAAATGAACTCAACGATCAAGTCATGAGAGATACCATCGACTGCTGGAAGTCCTCTCTTAAGGCGCCACTCCTCCGACCCAATCAATTGGATAAAGTGAACGCCGAAGACATAGATTTCGATATGAGTGTTGACTTCAATCACGTGGTCTCACAGATTGAGCCCAAACTTCTTCTGATGAACACCAATGCCATTGAATATCGCATCGATTGTCTCAAAAAGATAGGAATACTGAGCGGTTCCAGAGATTTGTGGCGAGTCTTTGTTTACTCTCCGAATGGCTTTTATTTGCAGTCTTGGAGTGACTTTCTGAAGAAATATCATTATTTGAATTATCGAGTCTTGGAATGGCTTATAGACAAGAAGGACAAGAACCGTCTGTATCCGCATCCCATCGTCAGGAACGCCAGAGTCATGGAAATGGCTTTCGAGTCCATTCAGTGCCGATTCCTCTTCGCCCTCAGGACTGGACTCAAGACTATTAGTGTCAACAATAAGTTGTCTGACATTCAAGACGTGAACCGAATTGACTTAAAGGCCTTACTTCTGACGCCACTCCACACCTATCTTAAGCTCATTGCCCCCAACTGTTCGCCAGAGGAATACATGGCCTTAGAGTCACTTCTGAGTGATAGTCCGCCTGAAGAGGACGAACAGATAATTGAAGATTTGGTGGAATTGAGTGCCAATCAGACCGTGAATTTGAAGAAAAGTCGGAATAAAAGGGATGAGAATTTGGACATTAATTTCCAAATCATTACTCAAAACTAATAGACCATTAGTTTGACCGTATATATGATTAGATGTGTTATAAATAAGTGAAATTTACATAAAAACAATGTTTAGCTTTGAGTTGTTTATTGAATTACATGAATATTGAAAAATACAAATTATTTAACAAATTGTCAAATGAATTGTTGGACAAAGAATTGCAGCACAACTGGCTTTGGACTGTTGGCCAATGGCTTATATACTACTGTATATAACATATTGGAAACAATTGTTTTTGTGGTCGAAATCACAATTGAAATGCTATTGTTTGAGTCGTTTTATAAATGATTTGATACTTTGTTTTGAGAAATACATGAATATATAAAGACATTTGTGTTGATAAACTAATGCTATCGATTCATATCTACATATTGTATTGTATTGTATTGTCATATTCAGTCATTACATAAACTTTCAAAAATGTTTTCGTACTTTGTATTTGAATCGTAACTTTAATTATTGGATGTAAACCCTATATGACTGTCACAATCTTAACAAAAATACAACCGATAAATGAATTTGGATTTCATAGACACTCTTCGGGAGTGCGAGTGATTGGAAGTGATTGGTTATGATTGGAGCGTCACATCACCGCCAGAGTGAAGTGCATCGACACTATCGGTGCAGACCATTCAAAATCATCTCAAATTTAATTCGTAAACATTGTGTTTCATAACTAAATGTTAACAATGTGTTCAGTGTTTAGCTCTTAAATAGGAAACTTAATACAAAAGGTTTCGTTAATACAGTAAATTGGCGTAAAATGTGTGAAATGAACAAATCGATTGAAACAAAACTTTTAAAAAGTATAGTAAAATAAAGTGTAAGATATATTGAGCTTAGATATAAGTAATGAATTCGTTGCAAATTTAGTATAATTTACATCTATTTATAATAATATGCAATGAAATGATGCATAATTATATACAATAATTGTGGGCTATATAAGTTGTCAGCAATTATTGGCTACACTACTGGGACCCGCACTTTGCACCGGTATGTGCTTGGATTCGGTGGATTCGTTGGAGTGATCGCTCACATTCTTGCGGACGCATACATACACGGGTCGGTACAGTACTACCGTCTCGCCGTTCTCCATACCCATCGTGCCATCGTATACCTGTCCCAACTGGAATTCAGGACCCATGTATAGACCGCCCTCCACGTGATCACAACACACGTCTGCAGTTATCATTCAAATTAATTTAATTAAATTCAATTCAAACAAAATTTGTTTATTACAGTTATAGATAGAGTTTTATATATATAATAATTGAGAGCTTTCATTGAATAACTGTAAACTTATTTCAATTCAAACCATTCTTTACAGTTTTGCACATTTATAGCACGTGTTCGGCAGTGAAGTGTCTTTTGAGTGCATACAGTAAATGTGTATTAATTAGTATTACTGTTTTGTAATAAACTTGTGTTTTATTTATCATGCGTTAAAAATTTATTTTATATAAAAGTAAACTTTGTATAGTTTTTAATTAATTATAATTAACGTAAAGACTTATTATTAATAATATTTAATTTAAGTTAAATTATATAGAATTAAAAGTTCCCTAATTACTAGAACATCAAGTACAATTCATTATTATAATTGTTTATATATTTCAAGTTTGACTATCACAGTTCCTTTTATTATCAAAACTCTGCTTTCTGTGTTATTTGCTGATCTTATTGTTAATAATTGTTTTGTAAATATTAAGTCTAATGAGATTACTGAATGTATAATTTAAAAGAGAATAATTTTAATAGTCATTTCATTTTTATTATATTTATAAGTATTCTTTGCTATACTTTCACAATAAAATGATTTGAATACAAATTTCAAACTTCAGCTTCAAACTAATTATTCAAATTGAAATGAGTATAATAAATTCATACCGTATTCGATGATTGGTTGCTGATTAGAATTAGGTATTCTAAAAGGACAGGTGGCTATTGTGAGCGGAAAATTCATGTGCAGGTCATCGCCAGACTTCTCCAGTTCTACCCAGACCTAATTTACATTTAAGATCATTATCATTTATTCAATACCAGTACAGTATCTAGATTTTATTAAATTGTTTGTTAAATAAGTGTTGAGACTTTGCTAAACACAACCTCTTTTAAAATAGTGTGCTACTAATTATAACAAAATGCCAAAGCATATAATTTTTATTTAATAAATATATGTAAATATTCAGTTAATTTTATTATACTAATTTACTGCACATTTGTTATAAATTATGATTGTAAAATAAATATTGCGGTTATTAATAATAACTTATTATTAAAATTAATAAAAAGTGATTTGTTTTTAATAAATTCATAAATATTATTAATGTAAATAAAAATAATTACTTAAATATTTAGTATGAATGGTTTTCTATTTAAATAATGATGCTATAAATTTAAAATTAGTATCAATTTGGTTATTGTCTGTTATATTATAAGAGATGAATGATAGATTATAATGTTTTAGTTGTAGTTATTATTCTTGTAAAACAATGATTGATCGTCTTTTGAATCAAATAAGATTCAGATTCCATACAATAATAGGCTATAAATTATGGATGAGATTATGAATGGACAATGTTTTCAATTACACTATTATATAATATTTTCCTAAATGTTTTTTAACAGTTTATTGTATCTCCACATTATAAGCAATTTTATTCTCATATTTCATAACATTTGTCACTTCTATCCGCAATACAATACGCTTCAGTAAATTAAACATAAATTCTACACCATTTTAATAATAAAAACCCTATTTTGTCCAAATAGTATATGAACTTATATATGAATAACTTATATGACATAATAATTATTTATATTGTGGCAAAATGAAAAAATAATATTTTTAATATTTTATAGTGCAAGAATTACGAATATTATAAAAATGGTTTTAGAATAAACTATAATTAAATTACTGTAATATATTTAACAGCCTTTTATGGCTATAGTGCATAATGTTTGCTAAATTCTTTGACTGTGAATAATTGGATAATTAAACATAAAATGTTTACAAACCTTCAAAACGTAATAAATCTGAAGTAATCGACAGATGCCGACCAGAGTTGGGGGCATTACTGGCACTACAAAACTGTTTGAGCTCTCGAAACGATACTTTTGTGAGGGAAGTATAGGATCGCCTCTATATTCAAGAACCGTATGATTGACTTCTTTGCTCAGACCTAATACTCCTCTTTCTATGAAGAACTCGACGTACTATCAAATAGAGTAAACAATTTCACATCTAATCTCCATATGGTGTGTCATATAATCCAATACCTGCACCAGTTTTAGCTTAAGTCTCACATTTTCTTCACTTTGATTATCAATATCCGCTTTCAGACGAATACTTTCACCGCAACAATAGGCCGTCCTATCCATCAAAGTCTTCAGACTTACAACTCCTCGTTGACAACACAAACAACAAACAGATCTCTTGTCCGAACCAATTAACGGCTTCTGAACATTATTTACACTCAATTAGATTACTCCTTCTCTCCCACGTCTACCCTCCCCTTCTCCCACACTACCCTCCCCTTCTCCCACACTTATTTCAATAATCAATTTAAGCTAAAAAATGAATGAATATTATTTTATCCAAATCTAATTTCCAGATGATTTTTGTTTCAAGAATTTCAAATAAATATATTCATTCACAACAAAGGTATTCCACTCACGAGGTATTGTTCATCCATGCAATCAATGTGTGGTCCGATTATTGTAAAATACTTCATCCCCTGAGGAGGTGACGCGTAAGGAATATCAATGGTTACTTTAACCCAATACCTAAACATACATATTCTTCAATATATGAGTTAATGTAACAATATTTCAATACATTACCTAACGGTGCAAGGCTTGGATTCAAAACTACAGGGCAGACAGCTCTCCGGTAAATGAAATTTGAAGGGAAATGAGTGATGACCCCGAGGAAGGATTGACATATTGCCCTCACCTTTCTCTGCAATCATACCAATGTCATGTCATTCATATTAAGTAATAAGTGAACTTGGTATTATTATTCATGCAAAATCATTTCACACACTGTAATATACTGTAATTATTATTTTATATTAGTTTAGTGTATTTAAATAGACATAACTTATTAATTCAAATAAAATTTAGTTATGTTAGTTTTAAGCACTGTTTTGCTTTTTGCTTAATCAATGATAGTAATTATTTATTAACCTTATCAAACAGATGTAATAATTGCGTCCATTAGAGAAAATTGCATATTAATCATAATTTAAAAATTAAAAATTTTTATAACAATTTCTGTATTAATCAAAATTATACACAGTATTAAAGATTCAGTATTATAACACAATAGAGATCAGATTCCATAAATTTAATTTATATGAATTATTGGCACTTAAAACTTGCATCACATGAAACTTACTATATTCGTGTAAATAGTTTTCAAATCTAAATTATAAACTATAGGTATTGAGAATCTACAGCATAGACTACAAATATTTTGAACTTACACAATTAGTAATGTTAAAGGTATATAAAAATATATAATTGACATATATCCCACTTGTACTGTACATCTATGATATACACATACCATATAGAAGGCCAATGGAATCAACGACAAAAGTTAATCTATAAAAATATATCAGTACACAAAACAAAACATTCAAATTATCTTAATTAAAATCTCTTATTCCCCCACATTCTTATTTTGACTAAATAATATTACCGTAATTTTATAATATAGTAATATTATTTTATCCAAATTAAGATGATTTGTATGTTTTGCTAGAGAATCTATACTGATTGATTGTTATAGATTGACTTTTTGAAAACCTTGAATCCAACGGCGTTCTATATGATCTGATTCTACAGTAATGACCTGGATGTATACTGAGGTAGAATCAGTTTCAAGAGATCAAACAAATTTTAAGCTCAAATAATTAATTCCTTTATAATTTATAATTTATAATTTAATAGCATAATAAGTAATTTAAACACTTCAATCTATAATAAATATTACCTCTATTAAGCTACACTCTATCTTATTCTGTTATGTTTATGTTATTACTAAATTAATGTGCACATTTTGGATTATTATACAAGAAGAGCTCTCCTCGACAACGAACGCAACCGAAGCGCTCGAATCGCTTCTCTTATCCATACGTTTGATATCTTTAAAGAATTGCAGACAAACTCTAAGAAAGGTTTAGAGTTTTATCAGAAGTTTCAAAATATTGTGGATAGACTTCACGCGCGAACTCGAGGTGTCTGTCGGGTTCAGGACGAGGAAAGAACTCAAATCAGTTCCTCTCAAAGGAAATCCAGTTTCACTCCATTGAATGATAACTATATGACACCAAAAGGCGACACATCAGTCGCACCTAAACTCAAAGATTATTTGCAATACTTTAATGCTTCAAAACCTATTCCTGAATCGAATCCCTTATCAGTTGACTATTATACAGCCGTTCCTCCCGTACCGCCCGCACAGAACTATCCGCCTTCTAGTTTATCACAAACCCATACATCACAGACTGTTTTATCCCATTTGCCACCCAATAGTATTCCACACAATTCTTTACCACAGAATAGTTTCCCAATAAATAATTTTTCACAGAATCCTTTGCCACAGAATCCTGTGCAACAGAATCCGGTGCCACAGAATCCTGTGCCACAGAATTCTTTACCACAGAATTCTTTGCCACAGAATGCTTATCAACAAAATAATTTGACTCAAAATGATTATTCACACAATTCTTTACCACAGAATAATTATCCACAAAATGCTTTACCCAATAATTATTCACCGAATCCTTTGCCACAAAATAATTATACTCCGAATAATTATTCACAGAATTCATTGCCGCAGAATTCTTTACCACAAAATAATTATCAACAAAATCCTTTACCACCGAATAATTATTTACAGAATAATTATTCACAGAATAGTTATCCCCAGAATTCTTTACCACAGAATACTTATTCTCAGAATTCTTTACCACAGAATAATTATTCACAGAATAGTTATCCCCAGAATTCTTTACCACAGAATAATTATTCACAGAATTCATTGCCTCAGAATAATTATCCCCAGAATTCTTTACCACAGAATAATTATTCTCAGAATTCTTTACCACAGAACCCTATACCACAAACTTATTTACCACAAAATAATATACCACAGTATGGATTACCACAAAATACAGTTGCACAGTATGGCTTACCTCACAATGTTATGCCACAAAGTGGTTACAGTCATCCAAATGAAACTCTTTTATTTGACGGCATTAATGATAACGTGATTCCCACTCTTCCGCCTCCACTGCAGCCTCAAGTGATTCCTTCGCAATCATTTGCTACCAATACTACTCCCAATACAGCCATCAAAAGTGCTCCGACGGGACTATTGGATTAAACAGACACTAATGCTTTTGACTCTATTTAAGTTAGGGGTCATTCAATAAGTACGTACGTAAATATTTGTCGGAAAATTAACACCCCTCCCCTACTTAATCCTAACATATTATACAGACTGTAGATACAGTACATAAGACTTTGTGTACACATGCCTTTGCTGACCCCCTCCCCAACCCTGTGCGTATGTACTTATTGAATGATCCCTTATATTTAATATAATTGATTTTTATAATATTTTTATACAGAATTAACTTTTATTAAAAACGACTGATTATACGGGAAATGGTGACACAATTTGATGGTAACTATATTCCAGCAATATTTTTAAATAACGTATATTGTGTTTCCAATTATAATTTATGAATATAATTGATTGTTTAAAATTAATAAGTTTTTTGTCTAAAATAAATGCAATCAAATTCAGATACTTTTATATATATTTCTGTATTATAATTTATAACTTATTTAGTCTGCAATAAGACTATTGTATCAAATGAACAGTATATGGTATTATTAATACTTAAAAAGTAAACCCAGTATAGTTATACAAATGTTTGAATGAATGGAAATAATATTTTTTTCAATAAATAAATTAAATAAAACTATTTTTATCGTTAAATTGATATAATTTTAATGTAAAAATTGAGAACATTTTTTATATTTGTCTTGAATTGGATGCAAAAAAATAGTGAAATTTTAACATTTTTTGTGTTTGTCGAGTGTTCGCCAGTTTTATGTATTAAAAGGACGAGTAAACTGTTGATACGGTAAAGTGCATCAAAGTTTAATAACTTTTGGATAATTTGACAACAATTTGTCGTTTTATATAGCCTATCATACACAGATTGATACACGTTTTCACTCAGGCGTTGAATTTCAAATAAATAAAAAATCAAATAATTATTTTTATAAAGATTTTTTGCAAAGTAATTATTTGATTAAAACAAACAAAAGTAATGAATTGCGAAATATAATACATTGAAAGACAACTCCTATGAGAAGTCCTTCAGAGGTTTGAATTCTGTGCAAAACGAGTTAACTATTGAATACGAGAATAGTTTGTCTTTAAAAGCGATTCAATTGTAAGCAAATGATAGCTAATTATGTTTGAAGTGAAACTTTTTATGATTTCATTATTAGATACTGAATACAAATACAGGTTTGGTTTGAGAAGTTTGGCACAAAACAAGTGACGCAAAACTGGTTCAAAGATTGTCCTATTTTTCAAGTATTTCCTAAATTTCATTATTTTAATACTGGACTGTATTTTCATTCATTTTGTATTTTTGATTTTAATTTTGATTCTTATATTGTGTTTCGTTTCGTTTATTTACTGTCAAAATACAATTTTATCCAAATCTCACCTAAATTTAAAGCAACACATTATGTAAGTTTAGTTAATACGCTATTTAATGCCTAATATTAATGAATTAACTTTTGAATGCTTTCAATCACATGCTGTCATCAGTTTTGACTCAATTTATATTTCAGTTATTATTAATTTAATAACAATTTTATATTTAGTCTCAATTAAAATAAATGTCTAAAACTTACGCACTATTGCATGGTTTGGTATCTATATATTCACTTATATAGTATATAAGTTTATTATATTATATTTTGTATATTGTTTTGCAAAACAAATTTATTTTGTAATCAAATTATAGCGCAATTCATGACTTATTTTATTAATATATTCAATGCTAATGTATTTTAATTCATGGCTTTATATTGTAATTATTACCAAAACCATTGAATCAAATGAATGGAAAATACTTATGAAATACTTTCAAAAATGGCTCAAAGTTTCAAAAAGTATTACTTTTTGAGAATTAATTGTCGTTTGAATAGTAATTGAGTCAAAGTTTATGATATCTTATGTTTTATCGATAATAGCTTAAAATAAAATGAAAAAGTCTATTATAATAACTTTGAGATCAGATATTATCTATAGATTTGTTCCTAATTTGTCTGAATTTTGAATTTCTAATCTATTGATTAGTAAATTGTTTGACAAATAAGTATTTTGAGTACAATTGAGTCTAAATAATGTGAATAAGATTTTAATTTAAATAATGATCAGTATATCAGTTAGAAATTCATTGCATTTCAGTTGTTTAGTACAGACTCTTGTAATACATTTGTCGTGCATTCAGTACATTGAGTGCTCACTGAACGCATCGACACTATTGACGGAGTATTGCGTAATATATTTGGTATATTCAACGCCACAACCAATTTGTTACGCCCGGCGCTCAACGTTTGGCCGCTTTTTTACTGCCATATGAACTCGTATTGCAAATATATATCAAATATTGTATATTTGTATTAAAATATTATTTTTATATTACTTAATATTTTAAACTTATAGATTTATCTAGAATAAAATCCTAATAAGAGTGATATAAGTTAGCAAGAATAGTTGTTTTTAAGAAAATAGAAAAATAAATTGTTAATATTGAATGAATTTGCAAAAAAGTAAGTTTGAAGTGATTTGTGCATTGTTCAGTATATGTAGTTTAGTATAAATATATTGCAGTATAAATTGAATAGTGTCCTGGTCAAATGAATTTGTCAGAATCAGATGCAATACAGTATGGCATATATTATATGAGTGCCTTAAACGGCGCACATATGGCGTGAGTTTGGTTGAGAGGCGGCGCACATGTGATGCAATGGCTAAGCATTTATGCATTTATGCAATACTCTCGCAGTGTTTCAGTGTTTGTTATGTTTGTCATTGAATTGAATGCATTCACAACTCATTGCAGACACAAACTTGTGATCACTTCTCACACACCGACCACTCATTCAAGCCTTCATTCAATCCATTCATTCACTAATTGTTTGATTCACTCGTCGTTCACAGCAGCCATCCATCCAGTGATCAGTTTATGGTTTACATCGCATAGCAAACCCGAACTCACTTTGGGATCAATTGGTGGTGATAGTCATGTGTCCGGTCGTCTTATTAGCTCTCATATTATCAGTGATTCTGCTGTTACTAGAAGTGACGGCAGCACTGAGTGTCACATTCAGACCATCACCGGTGAAGCAACTCAAAGAAGATGAGATCATAACCGTGTCCATCGAACTCAACAATTCTGTCCATAAATTCAATTCCAATGATTATTACGATCTCTATGTCGGCGACCCTTCTGTGGTGGAAGTGTTGGGCGACAAGACATTGATTGTGGGCTCCAATGGACCACTGAATGGCACGTTTGAGTTGAGGGGCATATGTTTGGGTCACTCATGGCTTCAAGTGATCAACAAATACGATGCAAACGATGTGAGCGAACGGCTGGCCATTAGTGTCATCCGGAAGACCAGCCAATTAACCAAAATATTCACCATATCTGTGGCCGTCTTAATATCCATGAACTACATAAACATGGGATGTGCTCTCGATATGACTGTAGTCCTACAGGTGCTCAAGAGGCCCATCGCACCCACCATTGGATTTGTCTGTCAATACACTTTCATGCCTTTGGTATTGATTTGATTGAATTGTTTGTAATTGCGATCAACTAATTGATGCCTTAATGTCTGATCCATAGATTGCATTCTTGGCCGCCAAACTGCTATTCACGGAATCCTATCTCCAATTAGGACTCTTCGTGTTCGGCGCCAGTCCTGGTGGCGGTGCCAGCAATATGTGGACAGTGCTCTTGGGCGGCAATCTTAACCTCAGTATTACCATGACTTTCATCAGTACCTTATCAGCACTTTGTAAGTTATAATTCCCATTAAATCCTATTTATATTTTAAATCACTTATTGTCTCACATTGTCTTCCGGTGAGGATATACCACATCCTTATCACTGGATTACTCTTTAAATGTTATCTATATATTCNTCACATTGTCTTCCGGTGAGGATATACCACATCCTTATCACTGGATTACTCTTTAAATGTTATCTATATATTCCGTATGTTTTGTTAAGTTTATAACTCATTTACATTAAAAACCACAGAATTTTTTCCTTTAATTTATTGCGATATTAAACAATACAGTCATTAGTTTTTCATATAATTTATTTTATTTCAAGTGGTTTTATTAAAACCAATTTTTTTATTTGTTCACATAATTCATATTAAAGCCATTAATTTAGAACTCAATTATTAGCAATTATTTTGGCTTTTGTCCAAAACTACAATAGATTGAGGGGTTCACAAGGATTACCGTTATTCTCAACATTTCAATCACTATATACGGTATTATTCTGGTTAAGTTAGTGTTTTATAGTTTTAACTAAATAAGCCACTTGACATTTACAAGTTAGCATGCACATTTTAGTTTTAGCATATGCAATATGATATTAGCTTTTGATTGATAAGCTTAGGATTATGTTGGAAAGGTTCAATTCTTGTGTTGTTCACTAACAACACATTTATTTTAGTTTTTTATATTATGAAAAGTTTTCAACTATTTTCCACAGCTATGATTACACAATGCTTTTACAGTACAATGAAAACATTTGCGGCAATAATTTATTTGAATAAATGCATGAATTTATATGACAGTTATGATGCCATTCTGGTTGTCAACATTGGGTCCCAATATCTTCGAGGGCACGACAACCTCAGTTCCGGTTCCAAATATATTTGGTTCTTTGGCTTCGATGACTATATTCTTAGCCATAGGGTTACTATTCCAGAGATTTATACCAAAAGTGGCCAATGTATGCATTGATTGCATTTTTAATAGAAACAAATTATTTTCATTTAATGCTAATTAATTGTTTCTCATTTAATAGATTTGTCGCAAAATTTTAGCGCCCGTTTCGATCGCAATGATTATATTTATAATTATTTTCGGCACTTATGCTAATCTATATATGTTTCGTATGATGTCATGGCGTATACTATTAGCCGCTTCTGTCAACGTTTGGACCGGTTTTCTGGTGGGACTCATTGCGGCCATACTTTTCAGACAGTCATTTGCCGACCAAATTGCTATTGCAATCGAGACGGGCATTCAGAACACAGGCGTCGCTATTGTTTTGTTGGGATTATCTCTTCAACAACCGGACG